CCTTATGTTGAAAAGTTTCCTCCAAAGTTTTCCCCCGATGATGTATTACTTAATACGAGGTTACACTTAAATACTTATTTAAATACGCCAGCGCGTTAGGTGCGGAAATGTATGTTAAAAGAATTAACACAATTGATGAAGAAAACCATCCCTGGTATACTCACTTTTTTAAACGGTATTACTGTGGGTGTTCCCATTTTATGTCATGGCACCTGTTCTGCCACACCGCGATAACGATAGCAATCACTCTGAGAAGGCATCGAACCTTTTGGGTGCCAGCACCATAACCTTTACCGACTTAACAGGCTAAGAAATGAAACACAACAGAGATTCAAAACTAGACACACAACTCAAAATGAGCTTTGATCGGGATATTCTTTTTCAAGACAATTAAAACTTCAGATAAACTAATAGCTTTCTATAATAAGTTAGGATCAATAATGAAGTTGAAAAATCGATGGCCCTTTACATTTGCATCCGAGATCACGTCACTAAAAATGAAAGAGTCTATTAATTTATCCTCAAACCACAGCAAAAGCTGCTGGTGTATGTCTATAGTTTAATCATGGGTATATTTCAGTGGATCCTTTTTCTTTACTACAACTAGAACACATGAATTGAGTATTTTTACTCAATTGGAGTCAATATAGGGGTCTTTTCCCTCCATACAGACAAATATACCAGTTTCTATCGGTTTGGCGCTCTGGAAATCATGTGTTCTTTCGGTTCTATTTTTTTTTTGTACGCCTTTTTATGTATAAAATGTCTGTGAGCGCAGTGCGCGCGTGTTAAGGTCACAATTTTGCCGCTTAGAAACAGTGCTTGAGGATATCGTGGTCGAGTACTTGAAATTAAATGCTCTAAATGTGTACTGAATAAGCATGTAAGCATTTCAAGTACATTCTGTAAAAAAAGAGGAAGATAAGATCCTACTAGTTTCACCGATTTCGACGTTAAACACACGCAGAAATAGGATTGGGGCTCAGGTATCTATTCACCATGTTTATCCCTTTTTATGGAAAAGTAAGGTCACTGCGGTGTTTGCGGGGGGAAAAAGCAGAAGCTTTTGGATCCTTCAGTCAGCAATAATACCTTACTTGACATAATCTTTATCCTCTGTAGCATAAGAATAAAAACAAACACGGCTATGCTGAGAAAAAATGATCCGTTTCAGCAGATTTTTCAAAAAACATCCACGATGAGCACAGAATGATACTCTCTCGAAGAGTTAATCGTTTCCAAATAATTGTTAGATATTATGTAGATAAAGGAGAAAAAATCATCCTGATAATTGCTAAAATTAAAATTAATTTAAAAGTATAAAATGGTGTGAAAATGATTAGACAAACATCAGACATCAGTAACAAAATGGTGTAAGCTATTCAATAGAATGTTGCACATCCATGTGAATGTTTATATTTTAAAAAATTAAGTTCTGATTCAAAACATCATTAGCTTGTTACTGCATAAGAGATATTTTTATTATAAAATGATATTTCCTCCTTTAGAAACCCCTCTACTGTATTTAATTGAGATTATGATTAATTTTTAAAGGGGCTTTGGCTTTTTCTCAGAGGCAAGGACCTTGAATCTACGCTTGATTATAATACGGTGACGACTGTACGCATCGTCAGGGCTGAAGCGAGCAGGGTGAGCACTAAGTGTGGGTTTGTCATATGGGTCAATTTTCTTGAGGGTATAAACTCGCTTACCGTTTTCGGTGTAAACCTGAAGATGCATAGCTATAGGTATGAAAAAAAAATGCTATACTATTTACTAGTTATTAAATGGTAACTACCTCCTTGAAAGAGTTAGGAGTAAAATTTACAAAAAAATCTAGTTGAGACATTCCGCATGAGGATCCAAAGAACCTAACAAGAACAATTAGATTAATTTAGAAATAAATATCAAGAGATGCTCAAAAATGCATTTTTTACTAAAAGCAAATGTTAAAGTATATAAATCATCGAACAAATGAACGCATTTTTATCTCGGCTAACAATAATAATTTAAGAAAACAAAAACAGCAAATATTTTATTCACTCATTTTTGATCAGTATAATGAAAAGATACGTACAAATAAACGTTTAGTCTGAAAAAAGGGCGATATTTTAATAGTTAGCTATAGACCTATCTCTTCCTTTTAGATGGGCTAACAAGACAGGATCGTCGCGAAATTTACCAATAATAAAACATACATTATCTATAATCGCTGAAAATGTATTGTGCGTGAGAAAAATAGGAAACCGAGGCTTCGGTGCCTTGGATTTGTTGGAGAGAAAGGTGATTTTACTCAAACCCATTCTACCGTTGTGCTCCTCAAAGGGTAAAGGTAAAAAAGGATCAGGGTGAAATGACAAAGAGGAGGTAACATCCCTCCTCAAATTTTTGAGCAGAGCAGTTTCTACCTCCTTTCGGAGAAGCGACTCCGGAAGTAAGCCAATCTTCGAATAGTTATACACGTCTACATCAGATGATGTCATGCAGTACTTACATGTGGTGCGCTTGCTGGATTCCAAAGTGGTGGATCTGTGATTCGAAGTAGGGTTATTAGGTTGTGAAATAAGCAATTTGTTCCGGATAACACGCAAAATTTCCTGATCACACCTGGAAGCAACCTCGGTCCAATACAATGGTTCCTCATATCGACGTAATTTCAGAAAGTTGAGTTCAACCCCCGCACAAAGACGTCTTCGGTGGCTACGGAAATTGCGCTGTATCAATGCTGCTCGTTTCCAGAGATGAGTGTAAATGGTATAGAATATTATCCCAAGGCTGTTCTGAATGGAGAACCGGATCATGTCAACCTCAACCAACTTTGCTGTTCGGGTGTGCGGTTTGACTGCAAAGGAGGCATCGTCATGTTTGGTATTCTGTTGTGTAAGGTGATTAGGCTGATTTGGATCAAAAAGAGGAAGGGGCTCCTTTACGATCTGATCCTTGGTGGCACACGTTTTATTGCCAACGTGGGAATCATTTTTCTGCGTGCTACACTCCATAGTATTTGTTTCCATTTTAGTGGAAGGTGGTACGGCGGCTACTGTTTTTATAGACATTTTAGGACTCCCCGCATGTCTGAATGGAAAGGTGGAATGCGCACTCCTTGCGGCGACTTGATCTACATCTGAGGTATTATTACTGTTCTTCAACGATGGTAAAACGGCAGGAATACGCTTATGAGGTAGAGTAGTACACGACAAAGACCCTGTTGAATAAATTAAGCGCTTGCGTAAGGAAGTTTCCCAGAAATTATAAGGGGTAATAAAGTTAGGCATAGAAACCTCATACTTCGGGGAACTCAGCTTCTCCAAACGAGATCGGCTTAAAGGGTTAGGGCGTGGATGAAGAGGCAATTCAGAAGGTGGTATTCCGTGGATATGCTTGACGTATTCAGTATTCGTACCATTATGCTGCCGAGCATCGTGACCATTCTCATTATCTGACCTATCCATGATACATTTTTTGATCATAATATTTAAAAAATTAAAATAAATTTTTTGTGGGTGAAGAAAGAAAAGTAAACTACAAATAATAATAATAATAATAATAATAAATAAATAAGATGTAGAAATATTTATACATTGAGACAGACAAATTATTATTACAAAATAGACGTGTATTTGCTTCCACAACATCGATAAGATTGTTAAATAAAGGTTTCGTGAAAATGGGAAGTAGAAAATTCGAACAACAAACCGACTAAACTACTGATTTTTCGGCACTCAAAAAAAAACAACGATTTAATAATTTAGTATTTTCAAAAAATGGAAAAAAAAGAACTTGACACACGCTTCTATTTATTCCAATTCTTCCTATTCGCCTGTCTTTTAACGGCTCGCCATTCCTTCAGAAGTGTATCTGGCGCATTAGCATAACTCCACTTGTGACGATCTTTCATGAACTCCAACTCTTCGGAGATCTGTTTAAAAACCTTGGAATAGTCAACAGGCTGCCCGGGTGTGCTACCTCCCTGGACTTGTTGCATCATGTAGGTTTGGTCATTCATCGTGGCATCTTGGCCGAGCAAGAGCTGCAAAATTCCCTGGCTTCCAAACATAATGAGAAAATACATACTCAACGACGTGACGTAAGTGCAGTCTAGGTCATCAATATCCAGCCCGCGCTGCATCATGCCGCGAAACCGCTGGTAGAGTGGAAAGGGAAGTTTGGCAACGACAAACCCAGTAAAAAAGTTCGAAACCAGCATCATCATACCCATGTTCGGCACTAAGGTCATAAACTGGTTTTTCAAGAGACCCATCATCATGTTGGGGTCGTTCATCATCTCCATGGGGTTTGGCGGGGACACTTTTTTTTTCAGATCGTGATTCATCAACTCCTCCACACGCTTTTTGTAGGCCACTGGTGAAAGGTTATTTCCAGAATGGATCAGCAAACGCGCGTAGTTCGCTATATTAGTATTGCACACTGCTGTCATGTTAATATTAGGTTGGGACGTGAAAAGGAGAGTGGCATAGTGCCTCAAAATTCCTAGAAAGATAACGATCGCGATGAGGGGTAGTAGTACCCAGTCGCGAATATTGGGATCAAGCAAAATATTTTGCTGCATCAATTCCTTTACTCAATGCGCCTTTCGCCAGATTAAAACAGACTCACACACAAAAAGAAACTTTAAATAGTTTGATTTTTAAAAAGAAAATGAAATTGTAAAAAGGTTATAAATATAGTGCTACATCAAAATTGGAATAAGAATGTAGAACCAGGCTGAACTTTCGACTTAACCGAAGTTTATCCCTCCATAAGTCCCTTTAGAGTGCTCTAGAGAAAGAAACACTGACACAAACTACGTAAATACCTAATATTAAACGAATTTATTTTTGACAAATTATTACCAATAGACAAGTACCACAAATAGACAGAAATAAAAGCAAGTCTAAATTTGCTTATCGATTAATTCCATAATTCAGATTTACATTAACAAACTTTGGGAAAAATAATTTGTGTGTATTTGTCTATTCGACGCCGATACAATTTTGGAGGAATAGTCGACAGAGTTCTTTGAGCCCATAAAAAGGATTTGAAAAATTTGGCAAGTTTCTTTTTGGTGCTATACCTTGTAAGAACGTCTATGATACCAATATAGTAAACTTCTTCATCCAGAACACTGGGAATACCTTTCTCGTACTTGGAAACGGTATGCGGTACGCGACAGCCCTTTGATGGGTCAGAACTGTCCAAAACACAGGGTGTTACTTGCGAGAGATCGGCACTCCCCCAGTTTGGTTGACACTGTGCAGAATCATTCGAAGAGCCATCCCTCTGAATCGAGCTTGAATAATCGCAGTTATTGCAAGACACACCAATGAGCAACGAGTAGTCCATGAGTTTTACGGATGCTAAGTATGCATAATCTGAGAGAACCTGTCTAATTAATTGATCACGACATGCTTTCTTAATCCAAAACATCCGCGTCAGATCCTTATCATGTCTCGTGATAACCTCTTCCTTGCACTTAGTCTTATTTTGCGTAATTTTATAAATATCTTTAGTTCCCTTTTCGATTCTAGAGTTGTTAACATGAGTTTGATTTGGATCATAAGTGTGAGGCACCAAATGAGGTATGTAGAAAAACTTTCCCAGTTTCGGCATGCGCCCTTTGATATCCCACTTCTCATATAATGAGCTCACATTGGAAAAGACATCAGAGGTGCACAGGATATAGCCCACTCGCTTGCCTACTTTTATACTTAAAAGCATGTAGAAGCGTGAAAGAAAAGAATCAGGATGCGTTGAAAGATAGTGAGTGTAAGACTCGAGAATGCCAGAAAGGACTTTGGACTCCTCTTTTGCGATAGTTTTAGATAGAAACAGCATATTCCTCGAGTTAATAAAAAAAGCCTGCGAACGACCAGCGCTTAGATTCATTTTATAATGTCCATCGGGAAGGGTCCACTCTTCGATATATTTTGTGTTATTAACATAATTCATCTTTCTAATCAGGCAAAAAACTTTAGGTGCGTATTCAGACACCTCCACTTCCTTGCCATCAATGAGAAACCGGTGCACAGACCTCTCCGTGTACGCTTCCTTGTGCAATTGAGGAAATCGTTCCGCCACACCAGTTCGAGGAGACTGTGCGTGGGTGAACGAATTTGTTTTCGACTCAACAGAATTATTCTCAACTGAGCATTCGTGGTTACACTTTTCGTGCAACATTGCCTGCATACGAATGGCAGATACGATTTGCATCCCGGTTAGACCACGACCACTGGTTGCAGTACCACTTTGGCCCATTGTGATTTACCCTAAAAGTAAGTTCAATATATACTTTTTTTTTAAGGAATGAGGTGAAACGTGTAGTAGCAACACTCTGGATCCAAACGTGTTGTTTTACTATACTTAAGTAGCCGTTCAGTGTGAATATATATTGGTAGATATAAACGTAAAATTCTACACAAAAAAAAATTACAAAAGTTTTTTTCACCACCATATCAAATATCCATGAAATTAATTTGGAAAAAAAGAAATATTCGTGTTTATGTCGCTTCTATTTTTTTCAATTCACTCATGGCGTTGTGTTTGTGGGCATGACGTCAAAACGATGGCGTCTTGTACTTTTGTAGTAACTTTTCCTTGACAGAGAGCTCAGGAAGTTGACTGGAAACCCTACTGGACTCATCGGTCGCTGGCTCCACTAAAGGAATATCTTTCTCTCTCTGTTCACGCTGTCTTTTGCGGCATAAAATCTGTTTTAGAATAAACGCCTCCTGTTCGGCGCAATCGCCATCCCCGTCTGATGCCCTCACGGTCTGGAAAGTGGGGAATGCCGTCCCGCCCCGTGGGATGAAATCCTTATTTAATATATCACTGTTGGCCGCACTGCTTCCTGGATTGTTTGGGTGGCCGAAAATCCTTTCCTTCATAGCACGCCGACGTTGCTCACGCCATTCCTTGGGGTCCTTGGAGAGCTCCAGCAGACCAGGGTTCACCTCGGCGATGTCACCATCCGTGTTTGAGGAAGACATGAAAATTGAATATGCTAAAGAAATTTTTAGAACTATAAGTTCTTCTCTCAAGTATACTAACAGAAGATCGCGGAAAATGAGCACTTGAAACGGAAAGCCTTAAAATGCTCACCCCTTAAATTGCTCGAGATAAAGAATAATCTATATTTCAGAAGCAACAAATATTTCTCATGACTGAATAAATAATATGAAATTTTTAATACTCAAAAGTATCATTTTAGGAGTATAGCATCTTCTCCAAGACACACTATTTTAGAGCCTATTAAATGTATACTGTTGTTAATGAACACACAATTCTCTACAATTAACATTTATTACTTTTTGGATTTCACATAGTCCCTACATGACTTCCCTTCTCATTTGTTTACCTTTTCCACACAGCTTCATTAAACATAAAGTGAATACACACCACAAACACATACCTTTCTTCATAGTAATCCTATGCTATAGAGTCGCCCCCTATGAAAAAAACTATCTTGATGTCTTAGAATAACTTTCTCGGTCAGAATATGTTTGAAAAATGACTCGGAAAGGACCTATTAGACATCTTTCATACATTTTTTACTTCCTTTATCACATAGCATTTCAAAGAAAGAATGAAAGTAATTCTTCATAATAATCTCGGGCTTATTTTCTACGAAGCGATCCAACAATTTCAGGCATCCCTCGTGGTAAGCATCACCCTGTGTAAGCTGAACCTTCAATATATTACAGCTGTCTTAGTCGATGGATAAAGAAATAAAATAATGAAAAACAGTCAGCCATCTAAGTTAATGAAGTTGCAAGGGATTAAAAGTTAGCGATCGTGGATTGTGTTCATCGTAACTATGACAATGTTGAATCAGAATGACATCATTTGGGAGTCAAGAACAACAAAAAAAGGATTCGAATCATAACGGAACGCTAATCGCATTGAACTGAGAAACATGTCGAGAAAGGGCAAATATCCGGAAAGGAAAACGCAAGCATCAGATAAAACTTCAAGATACAAATAGTGCATCAACATATAATCAGTTCAAACAGAACGCGACAAGTTTCCATCAATATCATCACCGCAATGTTTTCCATCCCAGCCTCTTCACCTAAACTGCAACAAAGAGGAATTATCTCTTCTTTTCATTATACCTTGGACTCAACAAGGATATGAAAACACCGTGGTCGGTCGCAGAAGAACGAAAAAAAACGCAAAACAGATCATAAATCAGTAAAGAATATACAACCCTGGTCCATTAAGGGTGGCATGGCCATTAGCATCACATGTCTTTCAAGGCTCTTAATGCAGACTTCACATAAGAGTTAAAGACATTCGCGCGTAGCACCGAGTGAAAATCACTATAGTACAAGAGGCGCCGCACACATACTGGCACCAAAAAAAAAAGGTGTTCAAAACGCCGTTCATCGTAACTATGACAATGTTGAATTAGAATGACATCATTTGGGAGTCAAGAACAACAAAAAAAGGATTCGAATCATAACGGGACGCTCTGATGCTCAAAATCAACCAAACTTTTCTACAACCTTCATAGCATATCTAAAATTAAATAGGTAAATAAAGAAATGTAAAAGAAAATTCCTATAGAAAACTTAATTTGAATAATGAAATGGATTCACTCAGGAAAGATAAAAAAAAAATCTTATAATTATTGTATATCTTTGTTGATAAAAAAAAATATCATTACTCCATTAATCAGCAAGATAGCAAAAGGAAAACGATAAAGCAAACAAAATGACTCAAGACGAAGCATATGTGTATAAAAAAATGTTTACTCCAATTGGGTTATGCCCAGTAGTTGAAACGGGTCATACCATAACGGAACAGATACACAGTCTTCATCTATATTTTTGCCTCGGATTGCAGACAATATACGAGTCCTCCATTCCCCCTGCATACTTACAGCATGTTTTTTTTTCGCATTTATGAAATCAATGGTGTCTTTCTCAAGATTCGACGAAAACGGTGGGGCACGCAACTCGACAGGAAGCCGAACCGCAGCTAATGTGTTAACTCGAAGTAGTTTCCAGCGTTGGAAATCACAATTATCGCTGAGAGTGGAGCGCAGCGCGCTTGTTACGGGTGAAGTAGAGACGGCTAGTGCATCATCGGCACGCTTGCGCTTTCGCATCTCCTCCATCTCCTCTCGGGAGGCCTTGAAAATATACTTTTCCTCCATAACCAACACTAAGGCACCCCATGCGGCCCGCTTATCGGTCGGAATCATCGAGAGTCCTCGCAACCACGTTAAATCATCAGTTAACTTGTTTGTATTGTCGGTCCGCCAGGCTTTCTGAGAAGGCGTGCTCCAGAACGCTGGGCCCTTGAATTGCACTAGCTGTCGAAGAACATGGATAAGAGATGCGGCATTGCCCTCTCGAATAAATATTCCCACAAAGCGCCTTAGGATGATCATGCCGCCGAGTCGTTCGAATACTGTTTGGATACCCTCACTCGAGGCAATCAGGATATCAGCTAAAATGCAGATTTCACTGGGCAAGCGAGTCATTTCGCAGAGGCGCGCAAAACCGGTCATCGCCGCCGCGCGCTCATCGGGAAAGGAGGCCCCGGGTTCCCCACCCTTGATGTGAGCTAGCGCGGAGAGCCAATAAAGATGGCGCATCTCCTCCGGCATCTGCTTCACAGCGACGGGGGCAGTCGGGGGGTGGGGCGTGGCGCTCTTAGGCCCGGCACGCACCACAGCTCTCAGAGTCCCAGGCCCTCCCTCCACCCTCCCCCCCGTTGATCCCCACGGCGCGATAAACGACGTCGTTTTCGCCCCAGTCGGCGGCCTCGGTGCCGCCTTTACTTCCATTCGAGTCCCAGGCGGCACAACCGTCACGGGGAGAGGGCCCCGGCCCCCGCCAAGCGGCTTCGCGGATGAAGGACCCGCTGCTTCTATCCGATACCCCGCGCCAGAGCGAAGGTAGGCTTCAATCCGCAAGCGCCGCTCCTGAACTGAAGGAAATCGGATGTTCGCGGTTGACTGCTCACCAGCGTACCGCGTACCACCCTTCTGCCAGTCCATATACTTTGTGTGGTAAGTTTGCTCCGTCAGCACCGTGCTGGGTAAGTGACTCTCCGCGATGAGCAAAGATGAAAGCTGCTGGGCGAAAGTTCCCCACAACGGCTTCATCGGCCCCGGCTGAAGGGTGTCGTAGAGCAGCTTCATCGTATCACAGCAGCAAGCAAAGTAGACCGCGAGATCGCTCTTGTTACGCCAGACGAAACGGGTCATCGAGCTGCCGTTTTGTCGTGCCATCTCCACGTGCTGTTTGTACTCGAGACGCACCTGTTGCAGAAACAGCTCAACCGCCACCCTAAAGTAGTCCACCATACGATAGCAACCCTCCGGGTAATGGGTGCGGTCATTTAAGATGCAGCGCAGGAGAGAGGACTGTTGGGAGGTGTTCTGCTGACGCGGTGGTGGGATGTACTCGTTGTCCGGTCTCTCAAACCGTAAATCGGGATTAAGCTGTATAGTGCGGTTGGCATTTGGATAATGGGTTGGGGCTTGGGCTCCAGTTAAATTAGAAGTTAATGACAGCGCCGCCGTCTGCGTGGGGGATTCACTTTCCTCTTCATTATCGCTACTAGCATACGAGAACGTCGTGGTGGTTTCGTCATCCGTACTGTCGGTGCTACTGTCCATAGATGTAGTTTGTGTCGATACTGCTAAAGAAAGGGAGGAAGATTGCCCTTCATCGTTCCTAGTGACTCGAGTAATCTGCTTTCGTTGAGGAATTTCAGACATTGCTATTTTCTAAGTGAGTACACGTATTTATAAGAATAACTATATTAAAATGGGAAAATATGTATTTATGAATGGATAAGCATGCTATCCCATTGTACTCAAAAGCCCACAAAATGCTAAATCAGGTATTGCCAAAGTGATTGGCTTGGAATCTGCGTTATTCCGTCTTTTTAAAAAGAGTAATAAAGCAGTAGCAGATTTAAAAGATAGATTTAAACAAAAGAAATACTAGCTATCACTTGAATTCATTCGGTGGGAAATAAAGAAAGAATTTCAAGTTGTAACTGTGTCTCTCGTCTCTGAATAAAAGGCATATAGTTGGGGTAATTTTCTTCAATTTGTTGAATTTGAGAAAGAGAAGGAGGTTGAGTGAAACGAAGGCTGCCATTGGGTTCACGATCACAAGACTGGCACTCTTGTAGAAGCTCACGAGCATATCCCTGAAGACTCAGAGAATTTAAAATATCTCGACAAATCTCTTGAACCTTATCTTCCTCGTTCAACAGTTCAGTGGCATAATTGGAAGGCTTATCAATGTGTTTGGAAATCAATGGAACCAAAAGGGCCGAACGGTACACGAGCGCAGAATCAAGAGGTTTTATGCGAGACATCAAAGAAGCAGATTCCGAACTGTCGATGATACTTCGAGTAACAGCATGCATAAACAATGAAAGGTTTGGATCGTGAAGAAGCTCGCGAAAATTTAAGCTACAATGTGTCATAGTTGGTACAATTCCATCGCCAATTTGCTCCATTACGAAGAATTATCTCTAAAGTTAAAATGTGTTAATAGCACCGTTTATAAATTTATTTGCTTGAAACCCGGTAAGATGGAACGACTGAAATGAAGTAATGTTGGGGAAAAAATACGAGTATATTGGTGCAAAAGAGTGTTATCTGAATTAATTTGAATTCTGATTCAAATTTATTTCACCTTTGTGAAAACGACAAGAATTAAACGTAACCACATTTAAAGTGTGCATGGGATAAATATGACACATATTCCTTTTATTTTTGATTTGGTTTACGTAGTTTATAACAAATATATTGTGCCAATAGGCATAGTTCAAGGGATAAACTCAATCAATAGGTAAATATCAATATATATTGAGAGTATGTCTAGTTGTTTTCTAACACTTTTGAATGGAGCGACACAAGTGAACACACAAATCGTTTCAAAATGATTGATATGTTCATACACACTGAAAACAGAACCTTCAGACAATAAAAATGTGCATACGTTTCTGGATTCCACACCTTCAGCCCCACACAAACTAAGAAAAAAATAACGTAGCAGAGAGTCCACGCTTCATCATCATCTTAGGTACTCCCTTGTTAAATGAGCCACTAGTAGAGAGCAAATCCCATAGAAGTGGCGACAATAAGTGGATGAAGCTTTGCAGCAAAATATCCTTTACAGAAGTAAAAATGACTCATAAACATGAGGTTCAGTTTGTTCGTATAACTCACTCATGAAGAAATGAACTAAGGAGCCCTAATGCTAGTGTGGGCAAGTCATGTCCTTCTTCATATAATTTTTATTCGAAAATCTCTTTTAGAAAATTTTCACTAAAATAAAAGAAAAAAGACATGATCTTTGGTAATTCCATAACAATAGCATGTCATGTCTATACAATACAAACAAAAGTCTTGGCGCATATGATGATCACAGGAATGATTAAAAGAAAGTTCTACTAGGAACTAAAAAAGTTAATCCAAAACAAGTTGACACGTCTTCTTACTTTTAACTGCGCTTAGTGCAGTAATATATCTACTGCAGTATTCTGCAGAAGCTGCACCCAACGGAATGGACACATTCTTAGCAACCAATGTAAAAGTACTATCACGTTCATACATCATTTCAAGAATAAAACAGATACCCTTTTCTGTCACCACCGTGCCACTTATATCAACATAATCGATCTGAGTTGCCTGGGGTGAAAAACGAAGAACATGTGTGAAGAAAATAAGGCATTCATCATTAATAAAGGGGCTGTTAGCAGCAAAAATGCTACGTGCATTTGTGAGACGACCATTGGCAATGGCAATTGCTATGGGCAACAAGGGAACGCATTCGATATGAACCTCAGGGGAATTGGTCATGAGAACATCAATAAGGTTCTTTTTTTCTTCTTCTGTTTTTGCCTCAGGCGTAAAGATCCGAAACATTTGATCAATAGAAAATTGCGTTTTTGCGGTGGCTTTTTTTATCTCCTCAAGTTGAGAAATCGCTTCTGAAATCTGAAGTCGGGTCATCTCAGCTTCACGCTGGAGTTCTGAGAGAGTCTTACGCTCACCATCGCTGTACATGATGTGCTTATCAACAGTAACTAGTCCTTTCCTCCTTCAAAGGGACTTCACTTTAAAAAGAAAAATTCAAACACAAAATATTTGTTAATGCTGTCCCTAACTGGATCCGTTTGGAAATCTCAGATCGTTAAGTTCGAAAAGCAAAAAAACTTGTGGATGCATCCTGCCAGTGAAAGCAAAAATGGGGATGCTAATTTTTTTTATAAAATGCTGTTTCGAGTGCAAACGAAAAAAAAAAGTTAGTATGAGGCCTCTATATTTATAAATGTCAGCAGTGATGGAAAAATCCACTCTTTTTCCCCAACACCACCTCTTACAACACTCAGATTAGATTTCATGCCCTTTACACGCGCCTCCGTCGCAGTTTTCTCTGACTAGGGTCCTTTAAATACACCTTTAGATAATCAAGCCTGACCTCCGCCTCGGTGCCAAATTCATCTCGCACCTGAACGATTGGGTCCTTGAGCAAAATTGTCCACAACCCATCGACCATTCGGTAAACCGGAAAGACGGTCGCGTCGTCTTCCTCTATTTGCCAGGCGGATTCGCGGTCCGCGAGTGGGGAAGGGGAGGGGGTCTCCTCAGGGCCCGGTTCCGCCGAAACGAGGGCCGCAGGAAGGCCTGACGAGGCCTTCCCTCCCGTCGGCCCCATCAGGGCGGGAACTTTGACATTAATCCGAGACATCAACGGGACCTCCGACAGGCAGCTGTCCATCGTCTCGTCAAAGATGCGCCAAAGGTGATCCATTTGATCCCGCGTGAGGGGATGCTTCTCGGAGATCTCCTCCAGTGTGGCGGATAAGGCCACCCCCAGCAGAGATTCACGGTACATATGGTGATATTTTTCCTAAATCTACCCAAGACGTCCTAGAGTCCCAGTCTCATCGCCCCATCGGCGTTGCACAAAGGTAGATGAAAATTGTATGGGGTGTATAGTAGTTTTCAAGCATGCATCAAATTATCCTTCTCCCATTAAACTTTCAAAAGAAAGTTGATGAATTTAAAATGGATTCTGTTAGATCAACATAATCAGGTATACAAACCATTACTACCATGGAATACGAAGTTTGTTGATTATATCTTCTGCGCTATTTTACGTCCTTTTACAATGAGGTTTGAGATGAAAAAATATCCAATTCTTGCATTTTGAAGGCACGTTACTTTATTTATAAATACTTCTTGGAGAAAGCTATCCACATTAATCGATATTATGCATGCATAAATTATGAAACAGAGTGCACATATGAATCGATTCCGCATACTTTTAAAACGTGATCATGGCGCTCCTTCAATATACTACTCTCTCGTTCAGATAGTTTACCTTTAGGTTCAGTCTGAAGATTTAAAAGTCTTGGGTTTTTTCTGACGTGATCTAACAATTTTATTTGTGCTTCATTACGGATATTGAGAATCGCACAAGCCCACAATGCGTTAACGATTGAAGAAGGGCTCATGCCGCCCTCAATATGGACAGCAAATAGTTGTGTGCAGCTATGAATCAGCTCGTCATGGCGTTCCTGAACGGCGGCAAAACTTGCCAAAATACCGGCTGCCTCGTGTATGTCAACATAGTTACCCTGCTTTATAAGAGTCATGAACCGCGATGCGAGAAGCGGAAACAGTTCGCCGTCAAATAAATCAAAGGAACTAAGAGCATTAAGTGTGTGATTAATCTCTTCTGCGCGAAAATCAGACGGTAACTTACATGCTCGCTCTGCTAAAACACCAAAGGCCTCCTCTAAAAGAACATTGGCCTTGAAAAGCGCGTGAAAGGTGATTGAGATGGAAACAGAATTGAAGGCGTTCGCCTGTGCTACGATATACTTTTCTGCTGTCTCCATAAATGTCGGAGTAGCACGTCCAGCAGTAGCCAGGCAATCTAATAACGACACAAAAAGTTGTGGCTTCATATCATTGAGATTATCTATTAGCCTTGTCTCATACGCGGAGAAAATCTCGTCGTCGGTGTATCCAAGTCTAGCGAAAGCGTCAAGAAGTAAAACCATTACAAGCGGTTTGGCATCCTTTCCCATACGTGACGCCTGTTCACGCAGAACCAGCATCAATGGTTTGTGTAAAAATTCTACGCGATAAAGGGCATGGGCAACGTTGGCGATATGAGTAAGCTCAACCTGTGGACTCTTAAACGTGATTGCAGCGGAATCGCAAAGAGCCTGAAATAACGCCGAGTGGTGGACCTCAGCGCGCCCATAGGCATTAATCAGAATTGCTGTTGATATCGCATTCATATTCGATGCTTGCTTTATAAACAGCGGAATAAATGTGAATAATACTTGATAAAGGAAAGGTGAGCAAAGCACTAGGCAACTGTGAATCACTCGTGCAAGGGCATATAGATCGGTACTGGATTCAGGTGTAGCATCCATACTCATTTTCACGACTTTTGAGTAGAGTAAGCTCTTTACAGGGGAAATACGCAGCGTTGTCGCAATTTGACAAATCTTTTTTGCCACCTCCCAAGAATACGCAGAGGGCAGGTCCTCGAGAACTTCAGTCTCAAAAAGACGATGACCATGACGAATGAGCTCCGGTCTTCGGTTGGTCGCTGTCTGCAGCGACACTTCAATATCCTCTATGCTTTTCAGAAAGACCTGAGTTGTAATACTACATGCCTGAGGCGTAAAGATCTTCCTCACAAGTAGCCTGCGCATTTTTTTTTGAAAAAAATAAGTAGTATTGGGGCACGTTCAATCTACGCTATAGGTTTTTTTTAATGTGGAATAAAACAAAGTAATAATCAAAAAAAAGTACAAATGAGACGAAAAAAGAATAGAAATCTATACATAGAAAATGTAGAAAAAAAAATTGAGCATTGAACATCGAAAATGCGATCACTGCAGAATATTCAGGGAATGAAGAAAAAGAATACATCAACCCTTTAAGACAATTACGTTGGAATTAAACGCACCTTGCTCCTTTAAGAAGGAAAATGACCGTAACTACTCAGGTCCACAGTATCGTGTATATGTTTGGTTAAAAATTAAAAGCTACACAAAGGTCAATATGACTGTACTTTCCAAAATCCCCAAGTGCTTTTCATAATAATAAAGCACTATATCGTGTGTGGGGAGGAAATATATTTGCAACAAATGCGCAGAAAATAGTTTTACAAATTTATATTTTATGCGTGTGTACTAAATAAATATGTGAAATATTGTTTCTATCGATTAGCACATTTCTAACTAATGAGGCTCATATCGCTGCAGAAGTCCAATGCCTCTAAGGTACTCTTGGGACTCATAACTTCCATAGCCCTCGCTGAATGAATCATCCTTAGAGTTGAACTCCGGATGGTGATTCTTCCCTTCGCTAAAAAAGGCACGGGTGCTTTGAGATCCGTTAGATTTGACTGCCGATAAGGCGGACGGTTCGTCTGGAAAGCGCTCTATTGCCTTACTAAGAGATTGGGATGCGGCGATGGTACCTTTCACCGCCTGTTCCTTAGTCCTCGATCGATCCCCGGATGTTCTAGTAATGGTCCGGTATGCTCGTTTTCGCAGTCCCGGTGAAGTCTCTAAATCTATGGGATTTGCGCCCCTTCCCCCCGCCATACTACGATAGGGTGGGATTTCGCGATCTAATGAGGTTGGCATCGAGGACAC